TTTAGGCTTTTCTATAAAATACAAGTGCTCAGCATTCTATTGATTTCAAAGTATTATTTTTCATGAAAGGCTGTGAGCCATTATTGATAGAGAATTGGCCTTACAGGCCAAAAAACAGGAGTAGAGGTCCCACCTCTGACCCATATCAACTCTGTAACCATGGGCTAATAACTTGCTGTCTCAGGGCTCCAAGTAATTAATTCTCTAAGATTGTGTTATTGTAGGAAATGAAGAGATGACCAGGAAGACATTGGTGTGTGACCAGAAGACATATTGACTGCGTGACCCTGGGAAAGGACTTAACCTCTCAGTGGTTCTAAGCCAATGGTGGCAAACTCAAATAGAAACAGGTGCCACTACACCACACAGAAGGATCCCTGGGGGCCGCATATTGACTTAGAAAACCACATACTGCTATTATCTATATTTTATTGTACTATTATTTATTTTATTAAATATTTCCCAGTTACATTTTAATTTAGTTTGGGCTGCACTCTACCTTAGACTGTATGTTTGACACTATTGCTGTAGGCCACTGTCTAAGATTATAGATTGCAGGACAAGTCCTAACTTTCTCTGGAAGGGAATTTCCTTATCCTGGAGCTCTCCATAGTATTGAAATATAGGCTCAGACCCTATTCCTATTCTACAAGTTACAGAGAAGTTGGTAATCTGCTTCTGTGGAGGGAGTTTCTATACTGGGAGTTCCCTACAATGATTATATCACAGATCTGAACTTTGCCGTCCTCCAGTATATGCTTTTGGGAGCATCTCCAAACACACATGTATATATGTATACATACACATATATATTTAAATATGTGTGTATGTCCCCCATAGAATTTTAGAACTGGAAAGAAACAAAGGTCATCAATTTTAAACACCTCATTTTATAGATGAGAAAGCTAAGGCCCAGAGAATTGAAATGACTTGGCTAGGGACACACAATTAGTAAGCAGCAAGGATGGGATTTGAGCCAGTTCATCTGAAAAAAGGATAAAAGAAAATTGTTTCATTTGCAGGAATACCTAACAGAACAGTACAAACATAATTGTGCTGTATACTTAGTCATCGATGATGGGAAGATAGGCACAAGTCATATTTAGAAGCTAAACAGTGTTGGACCTGGTGGCACACTTCTGAAATCCCTGTGACCAGAGGAGGCCAAGGCTTGTGCATCACTTGAGTTCAGGAGTTCTGAGCTCCAGAAGGACTTAAGCTGATTAGGTGGTCTCACTAAATCCAACAGCAACATGGTGAGCTCCAAGGAGTCAAAGGGGCCCATATTGAAGACCAGAGCAGATCAGCATTGGGATGTAGTGAGTGGTTATTGCATTTTGTAGGTGAGACAAGGAGACTCAGGAGGAAGAAAGAAAGAAAGAAAGAAAGAAAGAAAGAAAGAAAGAAAGAAAGAAAGAAAGAAAGAAAGAAAGAAAGAAAGAAGGAAGAGGAAGGAAGGAAGGAAGGAAGGAAGGAAGGAAGAGAGAAAGGAAGAGGAAGAGAGAGAAAGGAAGAAGGAAGGGAGAAGAAAGTGAGGTAGGGAAGGAGGGAAGAAGGAAGGAAAGAAAAGAGGGAGATGGAGAGAGAAGGAAGGAAGGGAGGGAGGAAGGAAAGAAATGAGGGAGACAAGGAAAGAGAGGGAAGAAGGAAGGGAGGGAGGGAAGAAGGGAAGAAGGAAGGAAAGAAAGAAGAAAAAGATGGGAAAGAAAAAGAAAGGAAATAAAGAAAGATGCTTCAAACTTAAATAAATGTGTAACCTAATCACTTCTATCACTAATCAATTTACACACAAATTAATTCTGTTGTTCCAGATCTACATTCAAAGAGATAGCAAGGAAACATTTTTTCCCCAAGAAATTTTTTAAAAACTGATCTTCTACTTGATTTGGTTTTAAAAAGCAATTAACTTTGAGCCTGACTGTTGTGTAAAACCTGGGAAAGGGAGATGAAATAACCCTCAATACTGTGAATCCCCAGGGAAGAGAGCCAAGGAGGGTGTCTTACTTTCTAGGGAAGGCCAGCCCAGTCCTTCTATTGCACTGATATGGCACAGTGGGGAAAGAGCAATGAATCTGCAGTTTAGATCATAGGTTTGATTCCTGGCTCTGTGTCTTGGTGACCTTGGGTGACTTTGGGCAAGTTCACTTAATTCCTCTGGGTCTGGGTTTCATCCTCTGGAAAAAGGGGAGACTGGACTAGATATTCTATATCCCATATCACATCGGGGCAAAAGAGATTTCCTTTTTCCCCGAAGTTTTTTAAATGGATTATTTTTTATTTCAAGAAGCATTGATCTAGAAACATAAGAGCCATATTTTTAGATTTAAATTGTGGATTTTCAAAGTCATCTCTAAAGGCTAGTTAGGTTTAATGAGCTAGTCAATGACAAAGGGCACAGCATAATAAAGTCCACAAGTGTGCCAGGCTCTGCACTAAGTGCTAAGTAAAAACAAAACAAAACACAAAAATATTCTTACCTTCAAGAAGTTTGAATTTTAATTTTGGGAAATCTGAAAATAACAAGGTACACACAAGATATATAATAATAATGTTGGTAGTGGTGTTGTCATTTTTCAGTTGTGTCTGACTCTCCATGACCCTGTTTGGGGTTTTCCTGGCAAAGATACTGGAGTGGTTTGCCATTCCCTTCTCCAGCCCATTTTACAGATGAGGAAACTGAGGCAAATGGGGTTAAGTGACTTACCCAGGGTCACTCAGTTAGGAAGTATCTGAGGCTGGATTTGAACTCAGGTCTTCCTGACTCCAGGCCCAGTGCTCTATCCACTGTTCCACCTAGCTGCTTAGTTTGCATAGTGCTTTACATATGTTAATTCATTTAATCCTCACAACAAGCCTTTTAGGTAGGTCATTTTGGTCCTTTTTGAAAAAGAATGCTAACCAACCATTATTATGCTAATTTTACAGATGAGGAAACTGAGGCTGAAAAGGGCTAACTCAGGCATCTAGAGTCTCACACTCTTGGTTGGTTGTTGTCCTTCATTCTTTTTTTTCTTCCATTATTTTATTACTTTCTCTTTCTTCTTATATTTCAGATAATTTTTCCTTTATAAATGTAGGTGTTAAGAACATGTAAGTTGAATATTTACATTGATTTTGTCTCTGGTTCCTTTTGGTATAATGCAGTTTTCTTGTTTTTCTCTTTTCATGTCGTGAATTTCTTTTTCTTTTGTCTCATAGAACGATCATAAGCCCTTTCCAAAAAATTTTATTTATTTATTTATTTTTAGTTTTTAACATTCACTTCCATAAGATTTTGACTTTTAAATTTTCTCCCCCTCCCTCCCCAAAACAGCATGCAATCTGACATAGGCTCTATGTATATATTCATATTAAGCATATTTTCCCATTACTCATGATGTAAAGAATTAGAACTGATGGGAGGAACCATGAGAATCAAGCAAGAAAACAAAACAAAAGGAGAGCAAATAGCATGCTTCGATCTGCATTCAACCTCCAGAGTTCTTTCTCTGCATTGTCCATCATGAGTCTTTTGGAAACGTCTCAGATCCTTGCATTGCTGAGAAGTGTCAAGTCTATCAAATTGACATCACACAATGTGGCTGTTACTATGTACAATGTTCTCCTGGTTCCGCTCATTTCACTCGGCATCAGTTCATATAAGTCTTTCCAGGTTTTTCTGAAATCCACCTGCTCATCATTTCTTATAACACAATAGTATTCCATTACATTCATATACCACAGCTTGTTCAGCCATTCCCCAATTAATGGGCATCCCCTCAATTTCCAATTCTTTACCACCACAAAAAGAGCTGCTATAAATATTTTTGTACATGTGGGTCCTTTTCCTTTTTGTATGATCTCTTTGGGATGCAGACCTAGAAGTGGTATTGCTGGATCAAAGAGTAGGTACAATTTTATAGCCCTTTGGGCATAGTTCCAAATTGCTGTCCAGAATGGTTGGATCAGTTCACAACTCCACCAACAAAGCATGTGTTCCAATTTTCCTGCATCTTCTCCAACATTTATCATTTTCCTGTTTTATCATGTTAGCCAATATGATAGGTGTGATATGGTACCTCAGAGTCATTTTGATTTGCATTTCTCTAATCAATAGTGATCCGGAGCATTTTTTCATATGACTATAGATAGCTTTAATTTCTTCCTCTGAAAACTGCCTATTCACATCCTTTGACCATTTATCAATTGGGGAATGACTTGTATTCTTATAAATTCAACTCAGTTCTCTATATATTTTACATATGAGGCCTTTATCAGAAACACTGGTTGTAAAAATTCTTTCCCAGTTTTCTGCTTGCCTTCTAATCTTGGTTGTATTGGCTTTGTTTGTGCAAAAACTTTTCAATTTAATGTAATCAAAATTATCCATTTTGCATTTCATAATATTCTCTATCTCTTGTCTGGTTATTAATTCTTCCCTTTTCCATAGATCTGATAGGCAAACTATTCCTTGCTTTCCTATTTTGTTTATAGTATCAGTCTTTATCTTATAGAGTGTATAAAATGTTGGTCTATGCCAGTTTTTGCCATACTATTCTCCAGTTTTCCTAGCAGTTTTTGTTAGATAGTGATTTCTTATCCCAGAAGCTGGAATCTTTGGATTTATCAAATAGTAGGTTATTAAAGTCATTAACTGCTGGGTCTTGCATACCTAACCTATTCCACAGATCCACCATTCTGTTTCTTAGCCAGTACCAAGTAGTTTTGATGATTGCTGCTTTTTTCGTCCTTTGTCCTTGAAGAGGACCAAAATGACATCACTATGTTGGAGTCAAGGTTCAGTGTGTCTGACTGTGATTAATCAGACTAGTATGAGCTTCAAACACTCTACCACAGGTTGGGCACAAATAGTCCACGTGAATATTTGGAGCAAAGATGGCTCTAAATTTGAATATCTCATATTTCTTTTGAGCTACTGAAATTCTTCTTTGCTCATAGAACACAGTGCTTTCTTTGATGTGGGCACACCATGCTAGGTGGTCCTGTGCCAGTGTCTCCCATATCACATGGTCAATCCCAAAGTTCTTCAGAGAGACCTTGAGAGTGTCCTTGTATCCCTTCTTCTGACCTCCATGTGTTGGCTTGCCTTCTGTCAGTCCTCCATAAAATAGTCTTTTAGGATTTTAGCATTTGGCATTCAAACAATGTGGCCAGTCCATTGGAATTGCACTCTTTCTGGCAGAATTTGAATGCTTGCAAGTTTAGCCCAAGAAAGGACCTGTGTCTGGTACCTTATCTTGCCAGATGATATTCAGAATCTTCTTGAGACAATTCAAATGAAAGTGATTCCATTTTCTGGAATGGTGCTTATATACTGTGCAGGTTTCATAGGCATGTAACAAAGAGGCCAGAGCAATGGCTCTGTAGTCTTCCAGTTTGTCAGGCAGTCTAATATCTCTTCTCTCCCACACATTCCTTTGGAGCCTTCCAAACGTGAGCTAGCTATGGCAATGCGTGCATCAACTTCATCATCTATGCGGACATCCCTAAAAAGCATAAGGCCACGGTAAGTGAACTTATCCACAGCATGCAATATTTCTCCATTTGCTGTAACTAATGGTTCCACGTATGTTTAGTGTGGTGCTGGCTGGTGGAGTACCTGTATTTTCTTGTTGTTGTCAGGCCAAAATTAGCACAGGCAGCAAGGAACCAATCCATGCTCTGCTGCATCTCAGCCTCAGAGGCTGCATTGAATGCACAATTATCTGCAAGATGCAATGTGTTCCACCTCTTTGGAAGCTTCAATCACAAACTGGCTGACCATTTGTTAGGTATGGAAATTGCTTTCCTGTATGTGTTATGAGCATTGAGGTCCCTTCTAACTCTGAAATTCAGTGATTCTGTGACATGCCTGAAATGGGAGGAAAAAAATCATTTAGAGAATATTCTTGACAAGACAACTCAAAAATCACTCCTCTTTAGCCAGACAATAAAATCTCTCTAATGTGTGAATTCACCACAAGTCATTCAAAGCTGAGGTCACACATTCATGGTCACTGGGGGAATTTCATCTGTTTCCTAGCTTGGAAAATGGCTCTTAACCATTCTTCATTCCTGTATTTCTCAAGTTTTACTTCAGACATAGAATGAATTGGGCAATCCTGTCATGCATTGAGACAGGAACATTTAAGATGCTCATAATAGTAAAATATTTTAAAGGCTGCACGGGAGAGTGGCCAGTCTCCCTGAAACACAATCCGATCTGGAAGAACTGGAAAATCCAGGGGAAGCATCCTTGCTTAGCAACTCATCAGAGTGGGGAAGGATTGGATAATAGGGTGGTAACCAAGGTTCTATGGGTGAGACCTGCCTGGCACACTGGCTCCTTAGAGTCTGAGGCCTGATTTGCCTTTGAGGCATTAGGGCACATGTTCCTTGATCTTCTCCACTGGGTACTTCTCCCAGTTCCATAGATGAATCCCACTTGTCATCACCCACAGAGAGGTGCTTTCTCTACGTAGGGTCTTGGTTGCAATTTCTGGGAAATCTTATCACTGGGCAAGATCATAGAATTTATATGTAGACTGTATCTTAGAAGTCACGCAGAAGCCATCCTCCCCTCTCCAAATCCCCCATTTTACAAATGGAGAACCTTATTGTTATGAATTAGAGAGAGATCTGAGGCAGGAAGACCAATTAAAGAGGCTATTGGAATAGTCCATTTGAGAGATGATGAGGAACTTGATGAGAGTTGTGGCCATTTGAATATCAAGGCAATATGTGAGAGATGTTGTGCAGGTAGAATGGACAACACCAGGCAACTAATCGGATGTGTGGGGTGTCCGAGGCAGGACCTATACTCAGGTCTTCCTGACTCCATAGCTAGCCTTTCATCCACCATGCCACATTGACTCTCAGTATAGGGGACATCCTCTGGGAAATGAATGATCAGAAAGGGAGGTGGGCCAGTGCTATAGCAAGAGCAAGGGATAACAGACAGAAAGATTGGGATGCTGCTACGCTGCTACCCATAAAATGTTCAAAGATGTGCAGGAAGGCCTCCAGCACTTTGGGTGGATCCTCTTTGGGAAGTTTATAAGAAAACACGGATGACAAATGCCCAGGATGAAACAGTTTGGCTGGTCTGTGATCTATACCAATGGACCCACACCAATGAGATCAGAGATCCATGCAAGCATTGACATAGCATCCCCTTCAGGCCTCCAAATCATCCCGTGCTGATTTCATCCATTTGGATGCTCCCTCCACCCTCGATGGCTGTAGCCTCTGGACACCTTCCCAGGTGTTTTTTTGGCCTGGTGTGGCCACAACATTCATCACCTGTTGGTCAACCTCAGTGATGAGCCAGAGGTTGGTCCTTGGGTGATAGCTGATCACCACGCTTTTGCTTGAATTCTTTCCAGCTTGGTAAGTCTTGGCAGAGCCTTGATTCTGCTAGCATAGCCTCGAAGGACCCAGAGTGACTCCTGTGCTAGGATGAACAAGACTTTGGTGAAAGAATCATACCAACAGATAATTTAATAACAATTATAACAGCTAGCATTTATACAATGCTTTAAGATTTGCAAAATGCTTGAGATATGCTATGTCAGTTAATGCTTATGCAACAATACTATGAGATTGGTGCCATTATTATACACATTTTACAGATGAGGAAACCGAGGTGTGTCCAGGGTCACACAGCTAGAAAGTGTCTGAGGCTGAATTTGAACTGAGGTCCTCCTGACCCCAAGTCCAGCACTCTATACAGAGAACCGTGGAGCTGTCGTCACTATATAAATATATAATAGTTTGAAACTGCTGAAAGCACTTTCCTCATGACAACCCTCTAAGGTAATTAATACAAAGTATTTTTATCCTCATTTTACAGTTGGAGAAACTGAGGGATATCAAGGTTAAATGATTTGCTCAGGGTTACACAATTAGTGTCAGAAGCCAGATTTGAGCTTAAGACTTCCTGATTCCAGGCCCAGTACTCTATTCACTTACTACCCAACTACCTCTTAGAGCCAGCTTAGAGATCCTTGGGTCCAAGTGTTCCATTTTACTGATGAGAATACCGAGGTACAGAAAAAAGAACTAGCTTTCCCAATTGAACAGGTAGAAAGCAGCAGAGCTGGGGCTTGATCCCTAATTCCTCTGTCTCCAAACCTGCTATTCTTTCCACTACACCATGCTTATTCACTACAATAGCTTTTAGCTTAGAGTAAGATTTACCTGAGAAAGAAAGAAAAAAGCAATTTTTTTTCCTACTCTAAATACCTGGTTAAAGTGCTATGGCTACAATTTATATACTAGAACTCATGCTTAAATAATAAGGTATAAACTTTGGATGGTGATTTCAAGGATTTTTTTAAATATAGATTGATTACTAGGCAAGATTCTTCTAATTATTTTAATTACAGGCTCTTAATGACTAAGAGTTTGAGAAATAAAAACACGTTTAAGCTGCATTTTCAATGACAATGACACCTGGAAGCAGCAGTTTGTGCAAAGCAAGTAGGGGTAATCCATTGTTACCTAGTGACAATTCACTTAAGCATGGTGGTTTGGGAGAGTTAGTTGGGGGATGGGAGTGTTTGTGTTCTTTGCTATCTAGGTGTAGAATGGGATGGAATGAGTAGAAATGGTATATAGAAAGAAGGGTTTGTGGGGAAAATATAATTATAGAGCTGTATCTTCCAGAGCTTTGTTTCCAGAGCAGTTACTAACCAAGGCTTAGGAGGAAGGCATGAAGTCATCCTTGGTTGATTGGGTGTCTAGTGGGAGGAGCAGAGAAGTACAAGGATACAGCTCATTTCAACCCTCCATCTGGTCAATTTCTATTTTAACTAATTATTTTTGCTAACTAGGTACTAAACTCTATTGTTTTTTGACTGATGAAAGACTACATGCCCTGGTATAAAGCTGTGATTGCTACACTCCAGTTAGAGATCTGCTCATTAATGTATTTACATTCATATTCGTATAGCAGGTTTAATTAATATATCCATAAAATGAAATGAACTCAAGTGAAATATAAAGTGCTTTGTAAGCCTTAAAACACTTAAAGCAAATATCAAATTTTGTCAATATATATTTTTAATCAATATCATGGTAATGGTATTCCAGCCACCTTCCCTATAACCCTCCTCAGATCCACAGTATGGTGGGCAAGGGAACTAGTCCAGGTTCAATACAATATGATGCAGCTATCACACTAGCCCCGGGCACTATACATCTTTTTTATACAGCTTAAGATCACATTAGGGTTATTTATTTATTATTTTGGCCTTCATATCATATTGTTGATTTGTATTGACCTTTAAGTCCACTAAAACACCCATATAATTATCATACTAACCATTTCTTCCCCATCTTATAGTTGTGATATTGATTTGTTTTGAACCCAAGTATAACAATTGACTTTTCATATTAACTTTCATTTTATTAAATTCAGCCTAAGTTCTAGGGATTTGGGGATTTTGACCCCTTCATCCCACAAATTGATTCCCTGCTCTCTGGTACAGCAGAAAGAACACCTTCTCTAGTGTTAGAAGACCTGGGTTCAAATCATACCTCTGACACTGAATACCTATGTGACCTTGGGCAAATAATTTAATCTATCTGTGTCTTAGTTTCCTCATCTATAAAATGAAGTGACTGGAAAAGATCCTTTCAGCTCTAAATCTATGATCCTAAATCTAAATCCTAAAAGCATTGCCATTTGTGTTTTTATCCTAGTCACAGAGAGATATATCAAACAGCACAAGGCCAGACACAGATCCCTGGGGTACTGCACTGGAGACCTCTTTCCAAAATGACATCAGGCTCTCAATGACTTGGGTCTGGGCATCCCACAAGCTCTGGGTCTACTCAGTTGTTCTATTGAACTGTCTTCTCAAACAAGACATCAGCCCTCTCCACTTCTGTGCCAAGCCCTATGTCTCTCATTCTGATGCTTCCTGTGTATCCAGCTGCTCAGAAGGGCTCACCACTCTGAGCCACAGTGTTACAGGTTCCCAGCCTCCCTTCACAGAAGCCTAATGTGGTACCATCACACTACTCCTCACTTTCTTTTTTCACCTTTATCTAGGACCGGAAAGTCATAAACTTAGACCTGAAATGGACCTTAGAGGCCATAAGATCCAAATGCAACATTTTCTGGATGAGGAAACTGAGGCTCAGATCAGAGAAGTGATTTGCCTAAAGTCACATAGTAAGTAAGTTGCTGAACCAGGATTTTAGCCCATGTTCTCCACTTCCAAATCCAGCACAATTTTCACTGCATGACAAAATGTAGTCATCATCAATTGATTCACCTCAGGGGAAGATTTTCCTGTGGGTGACTATAAGAGGCAAGAATTCCCAATTTTCTTTATTCTGGTCTCCTTTTACCTGTTCTATACATCTTTTTTCTGTTCATAGGCTGGCTTGCCTCACACCACCTGATAGCACAATATAGTAGAAGTAGGAAAACAATTATATTTAAAGTCAGAGGTACTTTCAAACATAGATTTGAAAACCAGCACTCCCTCTCACTAACTATATGATTTGGGGGAAGTCCACATAACCCCTGTGATTCTCAGTAACCTCATCCGGCACATGTGTATAATGCTGTATTGGGTTACCTACTTCATTTGTCATTGTTCAGTCATTTTTCAGCTGAGTCTGACTCTTCATGACCCCATTTGTGGTTTTTTTGGCAAAGATACTGGAGTGGTTTGCAATTTCTTTCTCCAGCTCATTTTACAGATGAGGAAACTGAGGAAAACAGGGTTAAGTGATTTGCCCAAAGTCACACAGCTAGTAAGTGTCTGAGGCCAGATTTGAACTCAAGAAGATGAATCTTCCTGTCTCTAGGCCAAACACTCTATCCACTGTGCCACCTAATTACTCCAGATCAACTTCATAGGGTTGTCTTAAAGATTAAATGAGATAATGTATGGAAAGCTACTTGTTAGACTTAAAGGAATATATGAATATGACATTTGTACAATATAATAATATATACAATATATAACATAGCATAAATATAGTATAATATGCACAATATATGAAAACATCAATATAATATAATATACACAGTATATAAAATAATATCAATATATCATAATACGATTATATGAGAAATACATATTACAAATATATAAATTAAAATATAGAAACATATATTATATAAAATATTATAAGTATAACACATAATATGTAATAATATAACATTACATAATAATATAAGATTAAATTAGATATTTATAAAGCACTTTGCAAATCTTAAACATATATAAATGTTACCTATTATTATTGTAATGATGTTGATAATGATTGATGATTCATCCAAGTACTCCACTACCTTCTGACTTATATTATTTTCCTACCTGGTAGGCAGGGTTGGCTACCTCAGAGTCAATGGGGTCATCTGTTTTCCTGCTCTGTGGAGTTCTGGCTCCTATCTAGAGAAAAAAGAAATAAATGAGACCAACTGGTGTATGTGATCTTTAGGTGCCCACTCAACTCAGACTATTTAGTAGCTTGGCATCATGGGATTTCCCCAACTTCCTCTGTGAAGGCAGTCTAATAAGATTTTTTGCTTCAAGCCATTAATGGGGCTCCGCATCTTTTCTGATGGGCATGGCTAAGTCCTTGCTTGGTTAGATATCTGAGGTCCCTGAATGGATAGTGTAGATAATTGAAAGCAAAGGCGAGAAGCAATGTTGTGCTAGAAGTAAATGATTAGGATGCCAAGTCTTGCAACACTTGCCTCACTTATCTTGGTCTGTCTAAATTGAGAATCACCTAGTCTCCTTTTGGGCCTTTGTTCCTACCTAACTCCTCAGCTTTCTTTTGTATCTGATTGAATTGATTGTCTTATTCACTAACGTGGAAAATTCTTCATCTCTCTCTCTCTCTCTCTCTCTCTCTCTCTCTCTCTCTCTCTCTCTCTCTCTCTCTCTCTCTCACACACACACACACACACACACACACATACGCACACACACACACTTTTCTTTTTTTCCCTGTTTCTCTTTCTCTCTCTTTAGCATTTTCTTCTCTCTCAAGCATTTATCCCCCTCCTTTCTGTTTCTCTTCAGTATTTTTCTTCTCTGTGTTTGCATGACTCTCTATAGTTGGTAAATTGGTATAAAAGACACATTGACTGCTTCTAGTTCCTGTCCATCTTATGAACCATATGGGCTAAGTTATTTTGGAAAAAATGAAAAGAGGAAAAGCAAGTTGTTAACAAACTCCTCTAGATAATTGAATGCTACTCTTTAAGATATGTGCATTCTTATGACTTATTTTAGCTATTATCATTATTTACTAGGTACAAGGCACTGTGTTAGGTGACAAAGACATAGTTCATTAGTTCAATGGATCCCCCATTGATGGAAGGCTTCATGGAGAAAATGACACCTGATTTGAACCTCAAATGAAGATAAAGAGTCAAACTGAGCAGAGGGTAGGTCAGGTATAGGGTCCAGTTCATGCAAATACATAGAAGTGGGATTGGTTAATGAATTAACAATCATTTATTAAGTACCTAGTATATACCAGAGACTCTGCTAAGTGTTTGGGGTACAAAGACAAAAATAATGCTTTGCTTTTGTCCCTCCCTTCCAAGAGCTTACATTCTAGGCATAAGAGATGGAATATTGAATCTTAGGAACAACTAGTTATCCTACTTCTATGGAACATAGAATGCATCAAAGGAAACAATATGAATAAAGCCAGAAAGGTAGGTTGTGAGAGGCTGCAGGGAGCCTTAAACACGGGACTGAGGAGTTTTATTGTTTTGAAGAAAAATGATTTTGGCAGCTATGTGCTAGATGGATTGGAGAGGGGGAAAAAATAAGGAGAACAATTAGGAGGCTATTACAATAGGGAAGAGGTGATAAGGGCTTGAACTGGGTAGAGAGAAGGAAACAGATAGGGGAGATGTTGTTTGGACAGAACTGATAAAACTTGGCAACTGATTAAATGGAGGTGGGGATGAGGGAGGAAGAAGAAGAGACCAATGCTCTTCAAAGTGGGGTTTGTGCACACTACGAGGTGCACAAGATGATCCAGGAAAATATTTTAACTGAAATGAATTTAATCAAAAAATAAGAAAGAAATTAAGCTTTACTAATATTTATTATATATATTGACACTGGCACCTTCACTCAGTCTGCCTGTCAGATAGTCACATGCCGTAAGATATAGTACACCAAGTATTCTGAGAAAGCAGATGAAGAAGCACACTATGGAAACTCCATACTGTACTAGTATTAATAATTAGTACATAATATAATTAGATAATTATATAATTACATAGGATAGTTAATAATTAATATGTAATAATATTATAATAGTATTACCCTCATTCATTTCTTCACTTTCAACATATTGCAATATTACAGTTTACATGTGCTCAGATAAGTGGATTTACAGATGATGCTAATTACTAATAATAGCTAGCACCTATACAGTGCTTTAAGGTTTGTAAAGCATTTTATATAGGTTATTTGGCCCTTTAAATAACCCTCTGAGATAGCTGCTATTACTATCCCATTTTTATAGATGAGAAAACTGAGGCTGAGAGAGGGTAAATGACTTGTCCAAGGTCACACAGTAACAATCTGAGGTAGGATTCCAAATTAGGTCTCCCTAACTCCAGCCTAGTACTCAATCCTACTCCCCCACCTGAATGTCATGTCTCTCCAGTTTTAACTGAACTAGCCCTCACAAAATGGATAAGCGGCTTTAAAAGAGTTCTGCAAGGAAATTGGATTGATGATCATACTAATAACAGCAGCATGAGTAAGTAACAAGAAAGTGATCTCTCTTCTCCTAGTATGAAATTTTCATCAGCCACATTAGGATGGAAAAGTCATGACATTCTAACCAGATCTGATAAGCAGTTAGCCAAAAAAAAAAAATAGAAACTAGAAATTAGCAAGAAGATTATTTTAAATATGGATTTACATCAGCTATTATCAAGGTTGTGTTTTATTCTCTGTATGTTGGGTCTTGAGGTAGTAGACAATGGATGTTCAAAGTTGTCATGATTAGGAAGCCATTAGAAATGAAACTTTTGTTGCAGACAATGATGTTAAGTGTGTTTCCTATAAAAAATGCTCATCTCTTTGGACTTAAAAGATTTGACATCAGAATTTTATAACTTGTTTAGAAAAACTTGTTTAAAAAATGCACTGAATGAAGAGTTTCAGTGCATTCTGAACCTATTTGTTAAAAATATAAAAATATAACACCTCCCAGTTTACAAGAACAACTGATGGACATCAGGAAGGGTTTGAATTTATAAGTGGAATTTCTATAAAATCCTTGAATGATCAGTGAATGAGGTTTTAAAAAATTAATATCATGACTTAGTAAGCATAGGCAATGACATGTTTCTTCCATTTGAATCTGGAGTACCTTTATTTGCAAGATATCTTTTTCAGCCATGACAGCCATTAAAACTAAGTATTACAATAAACTGAATTTAGAATCAACCTTTCAGATCACTTTATCACAAAAAATTAAACCTAAATTAGCAAAATGGTGAAGGATATTCAACTAAATTGTTCTAATTAAAATTGTTATTAGTTGTAAAGGAGAGCATAAAGGGATTTAAAAATACTTTAAAATAAGTTTATTTAAAATATAATTTATTTTTAGAATATTATTTATTTTTCTTTATCTCATCCCTTGCTAATTTCTGTTTGTGTGTGTATATTTTGAAATGTATATATCAGTACAATAATATGTGCATGTGATTTTTAAATAAAAAATACACATATGTGCACATGCTTATACACACACACACACACACACACACACACACACACACACACACACACACGGCATTCATGTCCCAAAATATTTTACTGATTGAGGTGTGTGATCAAAAAATTTTGTAGACCACTGGAGAAGAAGATGGTGTCATGGAGAGAGCAGTGGATTTAGAATGAGGAAGACCTGAATTTACATCTCACCTCAGATCCTCACTAGCTGTGTGACTCTCAGCCTCAGTTTCCTCATCTGCAAATAAGGAAGTTATATTCAATGGTCTCTAAGGTCCCTTCCAGGTCTGAATCTATGCTGCCATGAATTTCAGAGCTTACGAATTTGGAGAGGACACAGTTTGGGGGTAATTATGATATCTAAGTTATGACCATCCCTATGAGTAACCGAGGTAGGGTCAAGATGTACATTATAGAAATCAAGGAAGGTCAGGATATTCTAGGGGATATCAACATACATACTGAAGACCCCAAGTAAGAGGGCAGGGGAAGGGATAGAGAGGAAGACTGTGAGTCAGGGGCTAAACTCCTTGAGAAAGGAGGAATGGAGACCTAGGGGCTAGTAGAGTAAAGAAATAGCAATCTGAATAGGGTGATATAGATAGATAGACTGAACTTCAAAGGAAGACAAACTGTCAAATGATGTTGGTATAAGGAAGACCCAAAAGTAGCAGTAGGCAACATGGAGAAGGTCAATTCCTTCCACTTTGTGTCATGGGTCATGAGAGTAAGAGCCACCTACTCTGGAAAGAGTAGCTGGGGATTGAATCTCTTCTGGAGAGAACCTGGAACCATAAGTGCAAGAAGATGGGAAGAATGCGAAATGAAGGGATCTGGGATGGAAGAGAACTCATTAAACACACAGTTAACTTTGCAGGGGACACAGGGTGAGGGGTAGAATAGGAGTACAGGCATGAGGAGAGATGGGGCTGAGGAATATGGGGATGAGAGTGGTGGGAGAAGGGAGCAGGGGGACAGAGCTGTAGAAGAGGCAGAGAAGACATAAAGATAACCTTAGGGACAGGTAGGTGGCACAGTGGATAAAGTACTGGCTGGAGTGAGGAGGACCTGAGTCCAAATCCTACCTCAGACACATAACACTTACTAGCTGTGTGACTCTGTGCAAGCTACTTAACCCCAATTGCCTCGCCAAAAAGAAAAAAAGACAAGGAAAAAAAAAAGGTGACCTTAAAGGAGCTTTCAATGTGATGGGGAAACAAAGCTTACTCCAATACTTCCAAAGATCGTGATAATACCTAACATTTATGAAGTACTTCAAGGTTTACAAAGTGCTTTACAAAAATCAGCTCATTATATCCTCACAGCAACCCTGGGACAAAGGTGATATTTTTATCCTCATTTTACAGATGGGAAACTGAGTTCTGAAAGGGGTTAAGTGACTTGCCCAGAATCACACAGCTAGTAAGTGTCCATGGCTAGATTTGAACTCAGCTCATTCTAGCAGCCACTAGCTGCCTTCAGGATTTCTTCTGTGTGTGGGTACTCCTTTTGCCCACATGGCTCAAAACCCTTCCAATACTTCAGCAGAGTTGCTTATGAGAAAAAAAAGTCACCCGATGGCCAAGCATCTGGTGAAGGAGTCACTCCAAATGGGTCTGCTAGGGACGACCTGCTTCACATACTTGCAGCCTTTCCAGTCTTGCTTG